TCCCTGTCATGTGATTGTGGCTAAATGTTGAGGTTAGCCACATGAATCTAATCTCCCAAGTCTAAACGTAGGAAAGTGAGATTGGATTATTTTGTTTTAGTGTCTTAATTTCACCCAGTCTAAACGTAGCAAGGTGAAGTTAAGTTGTCTTGTATTAATTGGCTAGCCACATGAATCTAATCTCCCAAATCTAAACGTAGGAAAGTGAGATTAGATTATTTTGTTTCATTGTCTTAATTTCACCCAGTCTAAACGTAGCAAGGTGAAGTTAAGTTGTCTTGTATTAATTGTTTAAACTCATAGGTTAAACGTAGCACTTGAGTAAGATGTATTGTGTTAAAATTGTATAACTGTGTGTATATGGTTTAAAGTTTGATAAACTGTAACATCATTTGAGAAGAGATTTTTGTGTAAACTCCAGTTGTCAGTCAGTATACAGACTGAAAATTGTGACCTTTCGATCTCTCAAAAGGTGATATAGTGGTGTGTAAAAGTACAAGTAACAGAAATGAGGTTGAATCATGGCAAGCAGCTTGATCATGGGGATAGTATACCCAGTGATTCCCCAGTTTTTTTAATGAAACAGAAATATGGCCCTTCAAATATTATGTATTCAAAGAAATGGGCAAAGTTAACTAAGAATAATATAAATCCATGGCCAGTGGTGGGGTCATTAGACCCTTGGGTGTTGTTAAGTTTAAGAACAATGTTGTTAAATGGAAAAAGTCTTTCAAAACTGGAATGGTCTGCATATATGTTATGGCATGAGGAAATTGAAAAGAAAAAGCAAGAATGTTCCCCCCAGTCAGGTGCAACAGGAGGGGCACGTAAAGGAGAGGGTACTGGTGTTGCCTGTTTGTATCCCTCACTGTACAATTTAAAAAGAAATGTTAAAAATCCTCCGCCTTATAATGATGATGAGGATTTTTTGATTAATCATGAGATTATGAATCCCTCTTTGGGTCACTTCCCCTCAGCAGATGAATGATGCACCACAGCTTGTACCCCAAAATTTAGCTGGTGCCTCAGCCATGTTGCATTGAGGTGGTAGACCTGAGAGGGATATTGGACTGCCTAAAAGATTTGCTGATCATGCTGTGGTAACTACAGGTTTATCAGGATGTAGCAATGTGTTGCCTGAGAGTGATGGGAGTGAGGCTATGATTTTACCTATTAGAGAAGTGGGACAGATGGATAATGATGGGAGACCACGGAGGATTTGTCAACCGTGGAGCCCACAAGACATAGCATTTTTACAGGTATCATTTCCTGCCCCCTCTAGATCCAAATGGGTTTGTAAAACATTTAAAAATAATGTGTGCCAGCTATTTCCCCACAACATAAGATCTTAATGAGTTAATGGAGACAGTATTAACCCCTGCAGAACATACTAAATGGGTGGCAGGATATAACGAGTCACCTTTCTCATGGCCTGCAGGAGTGGGGGTACAAGCAGTTGCACACATATGGGAAAATTGCCCTGATGAGAGGAGTGATGTTGTCCTTAAGAATTGGTATGCATTCCTCAGCATCAAATTAAAAACAGTTTTTACCCAGCCTATTGACTATACATAGCATAGTGCAAAAGAAAGGAGAAAACCCCTATGAATATGCGGAAGCAATTAAGGTTTTTGGAAGTTTTGAAGATATCACGAATTAATCAATTAAGCCGTTCATAGTGAATACCTTAGTAAATGGTTTGGATGCTAAAGTAAAAAAAACAATTGATGTTATCCTTACTGGGATGGCGGGATAAATCACTTAATATTGTATTAAGTGCAGCATCGGAAATTTGACAGGCTATTCAAATCAAGGAAAATGCAAAAGCTGAGCACCTTATGCTACAAGCTGAACAAATGCCTGTTAGATATTATGCACATCAGCCAAGACAAAACATAGCCAGAAGACCCCCACAGAATAATGTAAGAACATTTATCAAATGTTTCAATTGTGATGGATATGGTCATATAGCAACAGATTGCAAGGAGGTAAAGGGGGCAAGAAAGCAATTAGAAGAAAAAGACGGACTAGATGTAGAAGAAGATTGGGGTCTGAATATGTATTGTTAGTGTACCTGTGACCCAAGGTCCAGAACCTATGGTACATTTGAAAGTAAATTAATTGTATGTGATACTGAGGGAAGAAGAAGTAAGTGATTTTGGTGGGGAGAGTGTATATTTAGTGGAAGACCAGCATTGCCATCATTGTTGTTTAATTCTGAATGGTCAAGGCTGGGCCTAGAATCTGTATTGGTACTGGTGTGTTCTTCATGTGTTATTTGTTTACAATACAATGCAGGTCAGAGACCTAAGATTAAGCAGCTAAATCATCCTCCCTGTTCATGAGGTCCATTTGTAAATTTACAAATGGATTTCATTGAATTACCAAAGGTAATGCAGTATTGGTATGTGCTAGTAATATTAGATACATTCTCAGGTTTGGTTGAGGCTTATCCTTGTTGCCATGCGGATATGTCTACAATGTTTAAGAAATTGTTACAAGAATTTATACCCAGGTATGGATTGCCTCGGCACATTTACTCAGATCAGGGAACACATTTCACAGGAAAAGTAGTGCAACAGATAGCAAAAATTTAGCAAATCCCTTACCATTTACATTGCTCTCATCATCCTCAGTCAGAAGGAGCAGTAGAAAGGGCCAATGGAACATTGAAAAACAAAATTGCAAAAATTGCAGCAGAGAAAGTTAAAGTGGCTTAATGCACTTCCTCTTGCCTTAATGTCTATGAGATTCTCTCTAGTTTGAAAGCAGGGTTATCCCCTCATGAAATTCTAATGGGAAGACCAATGTTCACAGGAGGGGTACCTATAAAATGTTATTCTCATGAGATAAATGATGATTTAGTAATGACATATTGCATGTAGCTAACAAAACGATTAGTCTCTCTATATGCAGGTAAAAGCTGTACAGCGAACAAGTGAATACCAACCTTTGCATGCCATCGCTCCTGGAGATTATGTTATGATAAAAGACCATTCACGAAAGCACGCGTTGCAACCAAGGTGGAAAGGACCTTGTCAAGTGTTATTAACCACTAATTCAGCTGTTAAAGTCGCAGGGGTTAAATCTTGGATCCACATTTCCCATTGTAAACTGACAAGCGCTGGAAAAGATTTTTTCACTGGAAGAAGAATAGAGGACTAAGGAAGCCGTTTTCCCTTCTAAAAAGGGGTACTTTTTAAGGGGAGTATCTTTCTAGTACAAAGTCAACTCTACTGTTTTTCTTCATGAATCTCAAACTGGTTAAACTTATATTGTCCTTAATGATTGTCATTATGACATTTTTTTAATTTTTCATCCTCATTTTTTCTTTAATACACGTGTAGTTTGAGAACCCAAGTGATTTTTCTTCTTGGGAGATAGATAATCATTTCGTTAAAACAGCTACTGAATTGTATAAATTGTCAAACAAAAGTAATCATTGTTGGGTTTGTGGGTTTGCTCCGCATTCCATGAACTATGGTTATCCTTTTGTGGGGGTGACATGGTCTATGGAATCTTTATGGGTCTTTGTGAGAAAATAAGAGCAAATAAAACGGGGTTTGTTGGATTTATTCAGAATGAAGTATCCAAATCTGGCGAACCTGCTAAGGTTCATTTAACATATCCCATTACTAGCAGAGCAGTAGTAATTTCTAACAGGGATCAGAAAAGTCCTGACAAGATTGTTAAGCCTGTAAGCAATGCTATTGTTATTTTTGAAAACAATGTCCTTTATAATCTATGTGGGTCTGAAACTAATTCTGCCCCTTGTACTGGTAGATTGAAAGCTTTTTGTTGGAAACCCTTATTAGAAGATATTTTAACAAAATGTCCCATCAAGGATAGAATCCCGGTGATTACTAATCATGTATGGGTAAATTTGACTTGAGGTAGAAATCATGGATAATAATTATGACCAGAATGAACATTTAAATGTCACTATTTTGAGATGGGCCTACTTTAATACTCAAACTTCCAATCTTTTTATGCTACTGCCCTATATTAATCAACCTATTTTTGACTGCTCAGATTCTCATGTTATTGATATCCATCTTCCATTTGGGGTATACTATTTATGTGGTAGTTGGGCGGTAAAAAGACTTCCATGTAATTGGGTGGAAACTTGTTATCTAGGTAATATTATCCCAGCGTTAACCCTTCATGAAAATTTGCCTGAAGGAAGGGTGAGGAATAAAAGAAAGGTTATTAGTTCCAAAAAAGATAAAACCGAAAGAACTGTAAAATCTGGTGAAGAAGATAGGCTATTTGCAGGTTTTGTACCTACATGGGGGGGTTATTGAATTAATGTACAAATTAAACTTGTTAGGAGATATACTAGATGAAGCCTTTAATAATACAGGAGATGCTATTGAAAAATTGTCTGCAGAACAGGAACAAGCTTCAGCTATGATTATGCAAAATAGGTTTGCCCTAGATTATTTGTTGGCCTCCGAAGGTGGTGTTTGTGCACTGATAAAAACAAGATGTTGTTTAAAGATAGATAATGTTACTGGTCAGATTCATACAGATGTAGATAAATTGCATGAAGTACAAATTAAACTTAGAGAAGTTCACGATACTTCTTCGGGAGGTTTAAATTGGGGTTTTGACTGGAGTTTTGGTTTAACTAATTGGTTGGGAACAATAGGAAAACGTATTCTCATTGGAGTTATTTTAGTAGTATTGATGCTTGTCTTTATATATGTTGCAGTGAATGTCCTAAAGTGTTCGTGCCGATTAATCCTCAAGAGCTGTTCACCTTCATCTCCCCCTGGCACAATTTCGAATGTTGAAATGTCTCCTATCCGGTCACAACTCATACCGACTTGGAATACAGACATG